CCCTGCTATGGTCTCTATTCCTGACTCCCAACTACAGCCAAGCAAACATAAAGGACTTTAGGGGTTTTCTTCCTCAAACTTCAACTGTGGGTCATAACTTATTTAACCTAATGAACAGTGACATTTAAATATATATATTAAATCTTTTAATCTTACAAATTTATTATGCAAATTTGTCAAATGTTATGTGAATCTTACCAGTAAAATGACAAAGGATAAAGCTGTTTTAGCAGGGAACATTTTTTGGCAACTTTCCACATAACTACAACAGAAAGGCTGTGTAGGTCTAGAGCTATGCAATTTGTTAAAGCTGGAAACTATTAGACATGCAATAGAGAAAGATCACATAAATCTCTTCAGGATATGAATTTGCTGTAGATATTTCATTAATATTGATTGCCTGTGCAGATTCTTTTAATCTGCTGAATGAATTTCAGTGCAGAGTAACTGTAACAGTAATAGGTAAAAATTAGAGCAGTGTGTCTTCATGGGTTGACTTGTTCTTCATTACCCAACCATGGCCTTGGTTCAGCAAACATTTTTTTTGCAGTTGCCAAACAAGAAAAAGATTCTTTATCTTTGAGCTACTATAGAAATTGTCAGGTTTTTTAATTTTACAGTAGAAAATATTTCATACCGCCCTGCTGGGCGTGGCTCAGCAGTTGAACGTTGACCTAGGATCCAGGAGATCAAGGTTCGATTCCCAGTCAGGGTACATTCCCGGGTTGCGGGCTCAATCCCCAGTCGGGGGCGTGCAGGAGGCAGCCGATCAGTGACTCTCTCTCATCATTGATGTTTCTATCGCTCTCTCTCTCTCCCTCTCCCTTCCTCTCTCTGAAATCAATAAAGATATATTTTAATAAAAAGAAAATATTTCATATCTTCTAATTATTCCACAGCATCCTGTTCAGTCATTCTAATGTCTCATATTCTTTATTATCCTACCATCAAGGAGTTTTATAGAGGGCATTCTTTTTTTTAAATTGAAATAATTCACACATCANAAAAAATGGAACACTTCTTAGCATTAAAAAGGAACAAAATATAAGTACATGCAACAATATAGAGAAACCTCAAATTCTTTATGTCAAGTGAAAGAAACCAGACACAAAAGACAACATATTGTATGATTCCATTTATATGCAATTTCTGGAACAGGTGAAAACTGTAGACACAAAAAGCAGATCAGTGGTTCTCAGGACTGGCGGTGGGAGTGGGGATTGATTGCCAACAGGTACAAAAGAACTTTCTGTGGCGATGGTTGTGCAACTGTATACATTTACTAAAAATCATTGAACTATCTACTTACAATGGTGATTTTGTGATATGTAAAGTATACCTCAATAAAACTGTTAAGTATATATATAATTTAATTTTCTATATTTTAAAGTATATAATGTGTATATACTTTAACATTTTAAAATCATTTTTAATTATAGGTAGAAATTTATTTTCTCCTCAACTATATGTCACTGCCAGTTGACAATTCAACTCTATTAAAATATCCAGCTAAGTATAACCTTACATTATTATTTGTGGATAGATGTTTTAAGCTGGCTGTTATCAAACAATATAATATCCCACTTAAATCACATTAGTGTTATATGAACTGGGAGAGCTCTGGAATTTGTGGCTGTCTATGTTTGTTAGGGTTTCACAAGTGATGAAGTATGTAAAGGTTTGTTTGTCCCCCCCACCCCCGTTCT